CCAGTAAAAAAGTTACTCGGTGAGGCAAACAGTACGCCTGCCTCAAGGCAGAGGGCGCTAGTGAGCCCACAGATTCTTGCGCTACCTACAATCTTCTTCGTGCTTGTTTATATTTCCTTTACAATCCGCCTTATCAAAATGGAAGCTTACATTTCCCAGCTGAGAAAAATCGTAAATCTGGACTTTCAATCCAAACATTTTTGACAGTCTGGTCGTTTTTGTCCAGAAGGATCTTATTTATTGAAAACATTTGTTTTAATATTGGATTCGAACGGTAAAAGGGTTTGTAATACATACCAGCTGACAAATGGATGTCGTGTACAAGTAAAGGTAAGACCATAAACTTGTATTATTTCTAGTTAGCAATAAGCTCAATTGGAATAAATTTTAACCTCAAATTAAATATGGGTAACGTTTGTGTGAAGAATGTTGATATGAGATATAAAACATTACGCATTGTCTGTTAACAGACAATTTGTTAACGGTTCATTTTAATTTGTAAATCTGACTGTAAAAGAGTCAAGTGCCTCACCAGCTGTCAACCTCACCGCACGTCACTGATTTTGCCTCATGTCAAAATAAAACCTGAATTGCTGCTTTGCAGTTGTATGGCTCCTCCAACCAGTCAAAGTCATGGGACAGACATGAGGACGCAGTGACCTTATTGACCACTAAAATCTACCCACTTCATTCTCAAGTCCAAATGGACATTTGTGGAAAATCTGACAAAAAAAATTCCCTAAAGACGATTCTAATAAATCACTTTCATGAGAGTGGGCCAAGCCAAAAACACAGTGCGTCCAGCCACAGAGGCATAAAAACTAGTTTTGTAAATCTGACTGTAAAAGGAGTTAGTGCCTCACCAGCTGTCAACCTCACTGCACGTCACTGGTACATATGGCACTGCCTGGCTGTTTTCTCTCTGTTTTTGGACACACACAATACAGACAGTGCAGGGATGTGCTATGCCAGAGAGATGCCCAGTAGAATGAGAATTAAAAGGAATACCGCAGGCAAAAGCAGAACAATGGCTGAGGGGGGAGCAGAGCCTGGTGGAGAGGCCCTCTGCAGTGGAAGCAGAAACAAAATGGAAGAGAAACAACACTACATTCTCAAAAACAATGCAACTTAACACAGAGGTGGATGGTGATGAAACAATGAAATGCAACACAGCCCCATTCTTAGCTTGGGGGTAACAAGAAGTGTGAGTGAATAACATGTCTCTATGAGTAAACCTAAAATGCCTTGGATAATGTCATAATCAGGTTACACAGTGCAGTTGTGTGAGAATGCTCTGCAGTATTACAAAAAAGTTCTTTTTATTTGATTATCACAAACCGCGGGGGCTCAAATTTAACTTCTCTCTCTCGTCTGCACTCTCTGTCTCTCTCCCATTTATTCCTGTAAGTCTTATTACCCAGCATTCTTAAGGTAGCAGGGATTACATTCATATATAATTTCGTATAGTAGTTCTGGTCAAAGGAATTGTTGTATGAGACAAGGTGTCAGGGTTGCAGAATGAGTTGTCTCACTTAAAGGACAGCTTGCACTCTGTGTGGGCTTGATAAGGTGCATGCATCTGTGTGTGTGTGCGCGCGAGCATGTTTCTGTATTTTGTGTTGTCTCCGCATAATGATTTTCCCAACACAGTTGCTAGGTATTGATTAGCTATATTCAGATTCGTGGCCCTGCTCCCCATTACCAGCAGGGCTATGCAGACCAGAACTCCACAGCCTCAATGTCGAGCAAGAGTCCATAACCAGTAATGGCTGTTTGTGCGTTAGTATAACCGACTTTCCTGTAATGATCCTTTTATTGGTGTACACTCAAGAGCGAGTGTGTGTGTGTCCCCATCCCTGTACATATGTTCATAATGGAAGATCATCTATCCAAATACAAAACATTTTATAAGCGTGGTCATAAGGTTTTAGCATGGATTTGGCTTGCAACCAAAAAATGTACTATGCTTAACAGAGCAACTACCTCACAACCCAAAAGAGACAAAAAGAAAATACCTCTAAAAAGTATTTCACAGAGCACATATATGTACAGTAGCCTTCTATCTGCCTATCCACCCAATTCTCAGTGCAAAACATTGTGATAGCAAATCCTTAACAAATCCACGCCTACGCTATCATTTACAATGGGGACATTGTTCATTGATGAGACAGAAGATGTGTTTGTAATCCAGTGATGTAGTCTTCGCATGTCTTTTGTCTTTATTTGTACAATTATTGACTGCTTCTCCTGCTTTTCCTCTTCTAACTGTCCCAGACCTCGGTGTCTAAAGTTTCCTTTTGTTCTTTTTATCAGCTTTAAACAGCATAATCCAAGGCATTTCCTGTAGCGTGTAGATGATGCGAGAGCACAAGTGGAGAATTACAGGCACAACTGGGAAGC